TTTTTTTTTTTTTTTTTGAGGTAGGAATATGGTTGTGGACCATATACTTTCATTTATTTGCTTTGGGTGGTTGGGATTTTTCTCTTCTCAATTATTGTACTTTAACATAAGTTATAGGGAAATTTGCACTTTCTTTCCAAATTTTTGCAAAATGTAACAAATCTATGTCAACCTTTCTATCTAGCATAAAAATTCTATATCAACCTTTCTATCTAGCATAAAAATTATTCACAACCTTTCAATTATATAGCAAACTTAGTCTTTTCCTCCATTTTGGTCATTAAATGATGGACTTGCCCTTCTCTTTAAATATATCACACTTAAAATAATTAATTACGTATTCATATATATAAAAAAAATTAGAAAAGAATAAACATTTCATCTTCCCCAATGAAACTTAACCACCCCCACCATCCACCCCCACTCCATCCCATCCAGGATTCTGTAATCCCATCCCTTGTACACATTTAAATTTCAGTTATTTGATAATAGAAGAAACTTTACTAATAATATTAGATGAACGCATGTATGATTTTATTTGCATAGTTGTAGCCTCAATAGGTGATGCAACCATTAAAGTAATGTTATTAATATTTGTTTCTGTCTTGTCTCGTTATGAGTTCCATTTTCATATGAGCCTTTTCTTTATTAGAACAACTACAATATAAGGTGTTTTTTTTTGTTTTGTTTTTATTTTTATTTTTTATAAACAAGTTATTTAAATCATTTGTCTGTACATTGATAGGTTCATCTCATCGCATCAAGACTCTTAACCCATCTTCCATTTCTTTGTGTGTATTTACATTGGTTATGTTTTACCGTTTGACTTAGTCATCATGTTTCTGTCTGCAGTGGACACATTTTATTATTTGACTTAGCCATCATATTTGTGACTATATTGGACATGTTTTAATGTTTAATATTTCACATGTTTAGACTAATTAAATTATTTTAAGGTTAAAATAGTTAAGTAGTTTACTCAACAACCTTATGTAGCGCATTGCATTGGGTCCTTTATTCTGTAAAGAAATGAGTTGTTACAGATCGGAGGAAGTTTTAATGAAAGTCATTTAATGAATAGACAAAGTCAACTTATGTGTTTTTGAGTTTGATTATGTTTTAAAAATAACTTTATCGAAAATCCTACTATGTATTATGGATTTGATATTTTCACGCAAAGAGTCGTTAAAAATGAATATTTTGGCATATCAACTCTGAAAATTTCAACTCATTCATGCAAAATAGTATTTATTATATATATTTCATTTATTTAGAAAGTCTACAGGTAGACAAAACTCGAAATTAAAGTCTTCAAGAATATTAATATCACATTGGATAATAATGCTTAAATTAATGATATTAAATTTTAAAGGAAAATATTATAATGAAAAATGCTCAAGGTTTTTCTCCTATAAGTGATCAAGACCGGATATCTATTTCATAGTAGAATCAGGGTATTAATCAAACTTAGCCCATGGGACCCACAAGCTTATAATCTTAAGAATAATTGTGTTTGTACATAATGTAATTACATAATAATTTATATACCCAATCATATTTCACCACATCGTATATATGTAAATTATCATATACATGTAGCACAACGATAATCTCAAAAGCTTTGTCAAACGTGGACTCAATAAATTACTTGCATTGTCAGCACAATAAACCAATTAATTTATAGATAAATCAAGAATTCGTATAGTATAAATGGCCAAGTAAGGAGACATTAATTATGTGATCTTGGATGTCGATAGCGGTTGAAAAATTGATCTAGTAATCCATCTCTTCATCCGGGTTAGAGTTAGGTCAAATTAGAAATTTATAGGTTACCTATAAATATTTAAGAACAGTTTTAAAGGTCTTCATTTGATTAAAACGTTTCGTCTTATTTAATTCATGGCCTACCAAGCTAATTAAATATCTTTGATTTTGTCTCAGTTTAATTGTCTATCACAAAAAAAAAAAATAAAAATAAAAAAAAAATTGATAAATCTACGAAGATTAATTTTAAGAATACACGTTTAGAGGGCTAGAAGTTGACGACAAAATAGTGCAAATTTACCTTGTAAATAATATAAATTAACAAGACAATAATTTTGAGGTTAATTAGAAATCAAACTACATCCAGAAACCTATGATAAAGTCCAAAAGATGACAAGTGAAATTAACTCTTTGAAAAGAACTTCTTGCTGTTCCACCAATTAATATATTTGGAAGTCTTTGTACTCATTTGTAGTTTTCTAACAAGAGAAATATTTCTAAAAAGAAAAAGAATTTTTGTGTGGGTACAAGATAAGATTATCGCTTTTGCAAAGGTCTTATTGACGACGAAGACTATCAAATTTCTTTTTAGTTTATTTCTAATTGCATCGCCTCCTTTTGAATTATTGCTGGTCTCTATCGAATGACTATTGTTATTTGGCTATAAAAAAATTGTATTGAAAAGACGATTATACTGTTGTTTTTAATTCATAAAATTATAAAACATAAGAGAAAAGAAGTATCATCGATTCTTGAATCTTTAGAACGTTGCGAAACTTTGGGTACCCAATCTTATTTCTCTTTGGAAATTTTGTCCTCAACCTATTTCTGTTTGTAAGTTGGCCTCCCACTTTTGGACATTGTTTTCACTTGGTTTGATCTATCAGGGGATTAACGCTGTAAAATCTAAAAAGTTGAGGTTCGTGCTGTTAAGAAAAATGAGTTAGAGGATCGAGTTGTAATAAGGTCCATGGGTTGAACACCATGATGCTACATATTCTTTTATTTTATTTTCATTTTAACTAAAAGTAAAAGTATAATTTGTCTTTTCCACAAAACATTGAATTTCAATGATGTAGGGACGATCACATTTATTTTAAAGGCATGTCAATATATATTCACATGCATTCACTTTGGGTGGTTGCGTTTTAATTCTATTCTCAATTATTGTACTTCAACATAAATTTTAGAGAAATTTGCACTTTTTGTTCTCAACTTTCGAAAACCAAAATTGTCATTATGTAAACTGTGAGGTTTCTGCTCTCTAACCTATGTCAAGATCTGGGTTTTTTCTATCTACTTACTGTATCGCATAAAGATATGATTTACTCTCATTTTTTATTTGATCCAAATTATAGGTAACTTTTATTGTTAAAAATATAGTTAAAATTTCATAATTTTCTAAATGTGTCCTTATCTAGTATATGAGATATGTTAGACTGTTTGTACACAGGGCAGACGCAAACATTTTGAGTTGGGAGCACAGTTAAACTCCGTACAAATCGAATATTTTATTCTTAATTTTTGAATGATTCATAACTGACTCGAGAAATGCAGATTTATAATTAAAAAAATATTTCTTCATTAATTTTTTGCTCATCATTTTTATCCATTTGATTTCAAACAGTCATTTTATAATATTTTGTTCATGAAAAAAAAATGCGTATTT